CTCAAAAAAGCCGGAAGAAACAGAACTTATTCCACCTTTAGGACATGGAAGGGGCAAACCACCGAAAGATATTGGTTCTATCGCCCTTCCTAAAGCGGCTTTGGGAATAACAAAAGAAAAAAAGACCTCGCAAGCGAGTGCTCCCGGGCGAGGTAGAGCTTCTATGATGAAAGCACGTGCTTTGACTGATTCACCGCCTGTTAGAAGGCCGGGAGAGAGATCCGAGAAGACGCCTATCAGCATCATAAACGTAATGAATCTGGTTTTTATTAGCTTATACTTCCAAGTTAAACGTTTTCGATTTTCTTGAATTGAGCTCTATGTTGGGCCAGGGACCAGCTGCGCGCATGTAGAGGGACCCCGGGGCGGGTACTTTAGGAATTTCTGGGTGGGGATGTGCCGTTAGGACCCTGGAACCCTTAGCCTATAGCAGAGCTAGTTCAGCTGAATTTTGCTACCCTATACTAGAGTAAACTCCTCAAATCCCCCCTATCCTAGAGTAGCTGTTTTCCAGAAACTACTGAGGTCACTAGCACAGTTGTCTAGCCAAAACAAACCTTATACCACAATTCCTACTCTAGATAAAATCTTCAACCAACTAATCAGTTTCCTGATAAATGATACCCTATTCTAGACCCAAATGCTCTGATTTATATACCCTGTCCTAGAGTAAACTGCTTGAAAACCATACCCTTCTCAGCGGCACATACCTATATAGCCCATATATGGCAGTATCCCCCCCCCCGGGAGGGGAACTGTAAAACATACAACCAAACAATTAAGTCTTGTTAGTAGTTGTATTATTTTGTTCTTTCGTTGCCCCTTGTTTTACTTAATTTATTATAATTCCTACTCTTACAGCTGTCTAACAACAACAACAACAACATTAACTAACTGAACTGGTTAGAATAATTATTCTAGAGTGCTCAACTTTTCATGTGTGTGTTCTAAAAATGTACCTAAAATTTTAACAAACAAAAAAAATACACTGTGTAAGTGTGGCAAATGGTTTGATAGATTCTGAGACAGTGGTTTAAAAGTGCAAGACTTTGTGCAAAAAAGATTTGGAGTCAGGCAGAAATACACTGACCTAGGACTTTGCAACTTGCCGTAAAAGCTTCCAAGATTTTAAGCAATGACTTACTTTATAAAAACAATTCTAAGATTCTATTGTATCTGAAATAGGGAATAATGCAACAGTTGAAACAGATTTATACTGCTAGATGCCAATGACCCAGTTTTTGTTATACATGTCGCAAACCCTTTACTACTATTTTTTACTCATCCTACTTTGTTTTGCTTTTCTGTTTATTCATATTCATTTCTCTCCCAGCTTTTGAACTTTGTATTATTATTTAACAATTATTGAATGAGGTTGAGTATCATCTGAGTAATTAACAGCCTCATCAGATAACACCTTCCTGGTGAAACAAGTGAAATGTTCCTCCAATTTTGTCCTCACCGCCAATTCAACTCAACCTCATCCTCAAGTCTTCTCGGTTAACGGTTCAATAATCTGCAATATTGCTGCACTTTTGACATCATCAGTTCAATATGGCAAAATTCGTCCAAATTTGGATGACAGTAGCTGGTTATGATGAATAATGCGTGTGATTTTATCCAATCAAAAATGAAGAAATACTTTGAATGAATAATATTGACTATTATTGTATTGTTACCCCTTTGTTGTCTATTGACAATAGCCAGAAAAAGCAAGGGAGTGTGGTACTCTGAACAAGTGAAATCCAGGATGAATAGCATTATGATTTCTATGAAAAAAACTTAGATTTTCTTGTCGCCCAAGCACAAAAGTAACGTACCAGGGGCCACAGGGCTCTGCTAGAGCACAGGTGCGGTAAATATAAAAAATTGTAAACTATTTTTTAAACTTAATAAATTGTTGTTGTTGTTGAGTATTCTTGAAGATTAGCCAGATAGGCCTTAGATAACTATTTTTTTTTTCTAATAGCAAAGGGAGGCTTTTCCTCCACTGTCAGCAAGTAACCCCGTCTCTTCTTCACCAAAGTGGGTAAAAGAGTCTCAGTCCAGATCAAACAAAGGCAACACAAAGCCAGTCACAACATCAACAAGAAGTAGTAGATCTAACAGAAGTTCTGTGGGGATAAAGGTGAGTTAAAAAAACAGCATTGACTGAGATGACAGCTTGCAAGTCTTCACAACTGGCTAACAAGACTAATCATTTTATGAAATAACATGAATGAGTTCTGCTCAAATAATTGAGTGCTTAGTAAACTTGCATTTTATAAGAACATAAACAGCTGTCAAAGGTAATGTCTGTTTGCAATAAGGGACTTGATGTAGTTGCTTAAATGAAGGCCCATCAACGGAAAAGGTAACATAATTTGGAATAGCTGGGAAAAATAATTATTACTCACTTTTGGGGAATGTTTCATCTCATTTACACTTTTTCACCCCAAGAAAACCTGCACTCATTAACACTGCGAACTGGCCCAACAGCACTCATAACAAGTGAGACACATAATGAAGACAGATATAGATGTGAAATGCGGATGAAAAATGGTGATTCAATGCAAGTTACCACGATATGCATTTATTACCACTCAACTTGCATCTTACCTCGACCTGGTTCATTGTTTAAACAGAATGGTGGTCTTTACACTAGAACCTAAATAAGCTAAGAAATTTTTTAAGACAAGTAAATTTTAAATTCTTCAAGTAAAAAAAAGCTTCACACATATTAAACCTGTCTTTTTTACTTCAGGTTTACTTAAGCCTATTTTCCCATGCAACATAATTAAGATTTATTGACATGCTTGGCCTTTCTCAAAGCTTAGAAACCACAAGTTCGCTAAGTCGGTTTTAAGGATGGTTTTCAAGTCACTTGAAACTTTCTTCAATTGTTTCAACTTTCTGACTTTAATGAGATGCAAAGTAAAGTTACTTGAGATTTTACTTAGGCCTTCACACGTATTTTTTGGTTAAGTAAAACTTAGCAGCTCTTAAGTCTTACTTAACAGCCTAGCGTAAAGACAACCAATGTGATAGAAATAACTTAACATTACTTATCTGTCAATTTATTTTAGGGACATGTTTTGTCTTCAACAGATGGCGGTGATGTTATAATTATTGAGAATTTTCCTACCTCAATCACGGAAAAGGTTTGTTGAATAAATACAGGAAATACAGTTCTAACAAAGACAGTTCAAACATCAAAACCTGAGCCTAAAGCCATCCGGTCCAAACTGCAGTTCACTTTCCTCAGGTCAGATTTCAAGTCACTATGATACAGGTAAATAAGCAGAATTAAAAGTGTCTCCCAGCCCTAATCTGTTTAGAAAATGCTCTCTTAGCTCAAGGGGAATCTGTGTGGTTTTGTAATTTATCGATGGATTAGTGCTACTCTTGACCTGTGGAATGTGACCTGTACTTCAGACCCAGCTACCGAAAGCAATTTGGAAGCAAAATTCGAACATGAATTTTCACAGTGCACCACAGTGTGGCACAGAACTCAATATCCGATATGTGACTCTCCACTTTCGAGATTAGCGTAGGGCGGCTTTGCTCCGTTACAAACATTGCACTGAAAACCCCAATGGCCACACTCACATATTTAATGACGGGGGGGTCCGAAGGATTTTTTTGGGTCTGACATTTTGTCCAAAAGGGATTTTTTTGGGTCTATGAAAGACGTGGGGATTTTTTGGGGTCGCAAAAACAACAGAGAGATTTTTTTGGGTATTGTATGTTTCATCAGCTCAAATCAAAAATAACATAAGCGCAATTTATAGCGGGGCTCCCGCGCGCGCGAAGCGCACGTGGGACAGAGCCCCATACCCATGGAATATGGTCAACCTCTTTTCGTTTGGTTGTCACGTGATTGACCGAGCGTACGTACGTACGCGTCTACAGATTGTATGGGTGGGGTAGGGGAGACTATCAAAAGGAAGGGAGGGGTGTCTCAGGTGTGTCTTGGCAAGTCCACATCTTTAATATAGGACATTAACAATATGGTCAATTGACAGCTGTCCAAACAGGATAGCCACTGACCAGTATCACATGACCATATCGCGGGCTCATGTGTCAACTCATCGAGGTGACGTGATTTATTTGGAAGCTGTCCGCTGACCAGTTAACTGTTTTACTAGATCGCGAACGTTCAATCTCATACTTTTACTAGTTTGGGAGCACAGGAAAACTGATAATTCACACATATTGGACATCAATGTTTTGATCAATTGACAGCTGTCAAAACAGAGTACCCCTGACCAGTATCACTTGACCGTATCGCGGGCTCAGGTGTCGACCCGTCGAGGTCAAGTATTTTTGAAGTTATCCGCTGACAAGTAAACTAGTTTTCAAGTGATCGCAGGCTCAAGTTCAATTTTTTTTTTCTTAATTCATATGAAATATGTTGTGTTTATGTGCTGCACAATTGAAATTTTGATTGCAAACTGACCTCGGACGTGAAAATTCAGCCAGCTGTTACAGGCAGGGAAGACAGTTGCTTTTTGTTTTTTCTCACAATGGTCACGCGTTGGTCACGCCCACGTCCAATTTTTATGCTCTGATTGGTCAAAATTTGACAGGTGAGTTCATGTTAAAATTTATGCAGCATCTTGAATCTTGTTTACTTTAACAGCTGAAGCTGACAGAGTTTTGTGTCAACTTGTGATGTTTTTAACTGTCTTTTTCCACTGGATGTACAAAATGAAATTCAGCTGCTATCAGGAGTCTTCTGTTACTCATGGCTAGTTTGTTTATTGGGTTTTGGTTGAGAAAACGTCGCTTGTCAAAGTCGGAACCGATTTCGGATGGCATCGTTTTCGTTTTCACCTTGCTTGATGCGTAAGAGGATTGCAAAGTCTGAAGCGATACTGGCTTTACCTGATAACTTTCAGGAGCTGCATCTCGAATGGTAAGCCAGAGAAATTATTGTATTTCATGTTTGTTTTTTGTAGCTAATTTAATGAAGTGGAGCGTAGTTTATGCGGGAATTTAGTTTATCTTGGCGTTTGTAAGATTTGAGACAACGATCTCACCGAGTATCTGGTTTGATATAATCTTACAGAACTTTAAAAAGCCTTTAGACAGTTTCTCACCGCAAATAGAAAGAAAATGTTCCAAAGAATCTTTAGTTATAATTCTAGCCGGAAAAGAAAGCTTTGAGCGATTTTCTTGCCTCGAGTTCGTCTTTGAAAAAACAAACACCGGGAAGCTGGCTTAAAACATAAACTTCAGCAAACTTAAGCTTGAAGCTTGAAGATTCAGGATATTTAGGGACACTTTAATACTTGTCTTCCTGAATGAAAATTGTTGTCTCTGTTTATGTTTCACGAATTATATTTCTTTTATTGATTGTTAGTAGTCTCTCTTGCAATTTTAATCGCTATGCCGATTGTTTTCAGTCGTTCAGTGAACATCGCTTGCAGGAGTTCTCAAAATGCCGCGTGTTAAACCATCAAATAAAAAATAAACATGATAAATTCTTTATTATCTTGGAGCGTAACTCTGTTAATGTTCATTCAAACACTCGCTACAGCTCGCACTACAAAAGTGAGAACCGGATGGCCGTATAGGTGATTTTGGAAAATTTTTTAACAGTTTATGAATATTGAATGAGAGCAATTTGTATTGTGAAATACTGCTTTCTGTCCATGGTATAAAAGGTTGGTTTACACGCACCCAGATTTGTTGGCAAGATTTTGCAAAAGTAAACTTGTCGAACGCCAAAACGTTGGCCTGGTTTTTTTTTTTCTAAGCCTAATTGATCTACGGTGATCAATAATAGCCATTACGGCTCTTAAATGTGATAAAAGATGATTACCAGTTTTTGAGTGTACATATGAGGCTATCAACTCGATGTAAGATTTGGTTCACTCTTGGGCTGTTTGCAAATTATTTTTCTCTAAAATCAGGTAGCCTTTCCCTCAAAAGTCACATAAATGTGCTCTAAAGTTAACTGAATTGTGGAATTCGAATACAAGTTTATTGTTTAATTTAAATTATAAATTTACTAATGGGAGCCTCGCTTTTAGCCCTGGCTAAATCTATATATTAGTTTTGTTTTTGACCAAAACCAAAGTTGAAGTTAGCATGTTTTAGCTTTCCAGAAGATAAATAAAAAAATTTGCTGATGCAAAAACACTGAGGGATTTTTTGGGGTATGCTAAAAAAAGTAGGGATTTTTTTGGGTAGACAAATTCTGAAGTTGGGATTTTTTGGGGTATAAAATATGAACCTCTGTCGGACCCCCCCGTCATTAAAATATGTGAGTGGGGCCCCTGGGCTGAAAACACTGTTTTTATGTGTGAACAGAGGCCTATCCGGTATGATTTTCATGTTGGCATAAGAGCTATCTGGTATTACAACAGTCATCCCAAGCATAATTGCAGACCACGCTTATGCAAAATTCTGGGAGGCAAACAAGGTGTATTATGGGAGTTTTGCAAATGACAAATAAAAAATAAGAGGCTACTTAGAGTCTATCTCAGTCTAATCGAACAGAGCGTTTTTAATAACGTGGCCATCATCTATGCATATCTACTGGAACAAAAGAAAGCATTTACACTTGATAAGAACAGAGTTCAACTCTTACATGATTTGTTTGCTAGACTTGCTACACCAACATGGCCACGGCTTCGTGGTTTTGAAACACCAATCTAGCCTTTTTGTCTTTTCGCCACTTGCCCATACCTCAGAGTGACTCATAGACAGTACCCCCAGTTATTAAACTGTTTTTCTTGTAGGACCTTGTTGATCTGTTCAAGCCCTATGGTGAGGTGTTAGCGTGTGTCATTGAAAGAGATAGCAATGGAGTCAGCTTAGGAACATCTCTTATCAGGTTTGCTTCATTCAGATTAATGTCACGTTTATTAGAATGTCTTCGGCAGTATGAAAATAGAGGCATTAAGATACACTGCTTATGGTGCACAGGTGGGGATTAACAACCTAAATCCGTAGATGTAGTCACATGTAAGAAGCCTGCCTCTTACCCCGGACTGAAAAACGGTGGCCTAGGCTACCGGGTAGAGTTGTAAACCTACAAACGACAGAACGTTTTTGCCTGCGCGTTGCAGCGGTACCCCGCCATAAGACCATCCCGCTGATACTGTCAACTCTTTATTACGACTACTTAATCTGGCTAGAGAAAAAACGTTAGTCCAGACGCAGCGGAGTGTTTTGAAACGAGGGGGGGGGGGTTCTTTGTACACTCAGCTAAATGTTCTTTGTGATGTTTGTTGCCTAAGCAAACCTCTTTGCTATCTTAACTGTAACCAGTGTGTCTGTAATCAATTTGTGACAGTGGATAAGTAGGCAGCCGTTCAGACAATCTGGCTTCGTAGTGCTTCTTAGGTAGTTTGTGAGTCGTCAGAGGCCAGGAAATTTACTCAATTTTCATATTCCGTGGACCACTCCTATAGTAGTGTTTTTGTGACAGAAATTTTATTGAAAAATGAGCTAGCGACAGGAAGGTGGGGGGCTGAGCCCCCACAAACTTTCTTTTGCAGGGGGCTGTACCTGCCCCCTGTTCTGCCGCCTGCAGTCATTGGCAGTTTTTAGGCTATATAGACATGAAACTTATGTAGACTTTAACGTCTCAAGCATTAAAACGGCCATTTTCTTACTCTACCACCTTCTAAATACTATCACTCCGTTATTACGACCAACAACCACTTTTTAGAGTCCCCAGTATTCATTTTCGCCACACTCGTTAATACGACCAGTCAAATACCTGTTACAGGTAAGTGAAGTAATTAACAAGACAAATAGTGAAGTTGTTTACTGAAGTAGTCTTACGTGCCTGAGCGAGTGTCTAAGTAAAGTGAGTGATATCATGACCGTTGATAGTCAGAATAAAATTATATTTGCAATCATGTTTCTTCACAGTACCCCGCTAATACGACCAAGTCACTTTCATGGCCCAAACAGGTCGTATTAATAGGCTTCTAAATCCAAATTTGCGAAAACATGACCCTTTATAATATAAACATATAGGAAATCGGTTCCCCTACGTATGTACAAATACAACACAAAACAATGTTCTACAATATTGTACAATAAGTTAATTAACGTTTCCTAGCTTTGGTTTTGTTTATAATTTACAAAAGACACGAAACGAAACAACCAGTTACAGTAACAAATCAACTAAGAAACTACCGTTGAAGCATCTAAAATTGAATCAAAATTGAATTAAATCTGTCTTCGCCCAAAATCCCAGAGTTATGTCACCACAGCCAGGCTGTTCAAAGGATTAGCTCGAGATTTGAATTCAGACATGTCAGTTGATTCGATACTCTAAAAAGAACCGAGAAATGATCCGAGAAAACGCTTTTGAACAAAAGAAAAAGAAACCCTCATTAAAATTTAACCCTGGGTTAGCGCTAGTCGGTCTTTGAACAACCGAGCCCAGGGACCTAAATATATGTAGGTTCAAGTTCAAGTTCATTCATTCACTCTTATTCAATCACAATACAACAACAATAAGAAAAAAAAGGAGTAAAAACAGAGCTAACTATACATTGAATTAAACATAACAAAGGAAAAAGTGTATAGCAGCCAAAGGAGCCAAGCTTTCGAGTTGGCTACTACCACAGAGCGGTTAAAAGTGGGTGGAGGTTATAAAAACATGGAAAAGGAACAGGCGTGCGAAGTAACGCGACTGCATAGCCGTGCGTGCAGGACAACAGCTTGGAATTTATTTCCGACGAGATAACTATTTGGGAGACTTGACCGTAAAGCGTCTCCTATATGGTATTAACGTACCTGTCTATTCTTTAGAACAAGTTCTTATTTTCAGTAATTGGAAGAATAGGTCACTGAAGTGAAACTGGTCATCTTAGAAAAGAGAACCTGTCTCTATGCGCTCGGTCATTATTTTTAAGATGGCCTCTGAAGTTCATGCATTATTCTGTATGTAGATAGTGTGTTAAATTAATCAGGGGAACAAGGTTTTAGTGTGGTGATGGCTATCTAAATATTTTAACGTGTCTTTTTTTACTGTCTAATTTAGAATGGAAAACAGAACTGCGTGTGAGTGGATAATTAACACTTTCTCCGGCGAAGAGTACCCCGGTAAGTCCATTCTAATCTCTTACCCCTCCCTACTCAAAACACAAGCAATCGTTCTTTTATTCTCGGAGCAGTAAGCCCAAGAGCTGTTGTATGATTTGCGCTTCTTGCGGACCTATCTGAAAAAAGAATGAACATCAGCTTTACAGAATAAGTTTGCGCAGAAAGACAATGATTTTGAACATTAAATCAGTCAATTTTTATTGCCATCACAATCAATCGTTACTTATGCAAATACTCCTTTAAAAATGGCCGCTTTTAAATCGGTCGGTTTTTTTCTGCCCCACAATCTTAGTGGACTCTCTTTGAAGTATACCAATGCGTATTTTGGAAATCTCTCGCTGACTGGCAATTAACCTGCCACGGTCACGACCAACAGTTTTTCTCTTTATTTTAGGAGCAAGTGAACCCATGGTCTGCCGATTTCTTGTAGAAGACGAAGAACATTCATGAACCCATTGAAGCCAAATCCGAAACGTTCAGCATTTCTTTTCGTTCAAACTCTTCTCCCTGTCTGAGAAAACGAAACAGCCTCCTCGTAATTGGAACAAAGGCTGTTCTCAGTTTAAATTGCCTGTCAGTATTTGCATCTTTAAGTGATGTGCGTTCTTAACTTCTTTCATATAAGTGAATTGTTTGTGTTAGTTAAGTGGTTTCATAGGCATCAGCGAAAAACAGACACTGCCTTTGCCTGTATTTATTGCTCAGTATTTAGCTTGCCTTAGCTTGCTCAAACAACGTTGTTGTTGTTGTTGTTGTTTCCCTGAAGTTAGTTGTGTTACGTCAGAGGTTTTACACTGATCTGTGTCTAGGACCAACTTTCTTGCTTGTTTTGTTGTTAACTAATATTTTTTCTTTTGTAGTGTTTTCCATAACTTTCCATCTTATGAGTTCTTTCCTCTTCTGAAGGTGTTACTGCCAATGCGTTACCTTCGTATGTTGTTCTCGTTATTTATTTATATAAAATATAAATTATATAATTTGATATAAAACAAATAAATTTGTATGAAGCATATTGTTGTAAAGATAATGAGACGAATTAGGAAATAAAAAATGTCTTCATTGTCAATATTCCAGTAAGATATACTGTTAACAGAACAGTTTGACTTAATTAAACCAGCTTCTCCTCTGAGTCCAGGGTATCTTCCATTCATTTTCTACGTGAACGACATTCAACTTGCTGATCCTCCATCTTGATGTACGCTGACAGCACAATTGTCTTTACATCGGGTCTAACTATCAACTACATTGAAGATGTAAATGCTCAATTCTGAATTTGAAAACATAATGTACTGGCTTCGGTCCAACTAGCTGATAATTCATCCCAATAAAACAGAATGAATGCTTTTTGGAACCCACCTATGGTTAGCTCAAGCTGAGGTCAGCCCTGAAATTTCCAGTCCTGGTTTCTCCCTTCAACCAATAGGTGAAGACTTTGTCATTAATGTTGTTAAACGTATAAAACCCAACAAAACTACTGGACCAGATAAAATCATCGCCCGCCTGCTCAAGGACTCTGTACACCCCATTGCCCCCTCCTTGACTATGTTGTCCAACCTAGCGCTACAGACAGGTAGTTTTCCTTCTGCTCAGAAAAACGCAAGGGTTGTACCCCGCATAAGAAAGGTGACAGACAAAACCCATCAAACTATTATAATAGCGGGCCAATCTCAATTTTGCCCACTTTAAGTACGATCATTGAAAGAGCCGTCCACACCCAATTTCATGGATACCTGACAGAGAATCATTTAATCTCTTCAAAATAATTTGGTTTTAGACCGAAATTGTCCGCTGTTACAGCCTCTGCTCAGTTTATTGATCAGTTACTACCGGGGGTTGACAGTGGCTCAACCACAGGAGTAGTGTTTTCGGATTTGACCAAGGCTTTCGACACAGTGAATCACTCCATTCTGTCTCGCAAACGTACTAGCTTTAGAGTGGATGACAATGCCCGGAACTTATCTTATCTGTTGTGGCAATGCCCAGTCTGACAAAGTAGCGGTATCTGTCGGAGTTGCACAGGGCTCTATCCTAGGCCCACTAATGTTTATAACATAGATGAACGATTTACCCAATGTCCTCGATTTCTGTAACATTACCATGTATGCTGATGGTACTGCTCTATATTTCTTCTCGAAACGTATTTCAGAAATTGAACTAATCAAAGTTGAACTCGGACCTCAGACACGTTTGCGATTGGATGAAACTTAATCAACTAACTCAACCCTCGTCTCGCGCTTCGTGCAAAATGCCGCGTTCACCTCGCTTTGCTCATAAAGCGCCTGTTATGCACGCTAATTAATGTTTCAAAACAGGTTCGAGTTTCCATTTATTTACAGTTATTTCGAGAAAGGTTGTCGGAAAAAATGTGCACGCGACAATCCCGAAAGGTAACATGGGATATGATCAATACATTGTTCCTGACGATTGTAACTGTCGAATTGATTTGTGGTGCTTTCCTTTAGCACTCGCAAACATATGTCCATGGCCTCAAGTGCCATTCTTTCAAATTTCTTTGAAGAAAAGTGAAAACATAAACCCACCCACAATGCCTTTTGGGATTGTCGCGTGCACTTTTTCGGGCAACCTTTCTCGAAAGCTGTATATATGTTATAATTCACAAAGGTTACCACCCATCACTATGAATGTGCAAAAAAAAAACAATGATAAAAATGATAATAAATAAATAATAAAATAAGATGATGTATAAAATCAATGAGAGAGATTAACAGCAGATTTATCTTCGGGATATGCTAATTACCGGGTAAAGAGGTTAGTGATACATTATAACATCAGAGCAACTCTTTGTGAGAGTTTCTGTGATGTTATAACCCGAGTAAGATAATTAAGTATTGCATCCTACACGATGAGCCGAGACGTTCACCGTTTCGGCTCTCACTGCTATCTGTGACGACAAGCCAATTATCAGCATATACCGGATATTTCTTCGGAAAGTAATCGAGAGTTCTTTTTGATGCAAATTTATCTTTTTTGCTAGTTGTGCACGTGCATATGAAACTTGAAAACAATGCCAGTGAATAATGAAGACGCTCACTTGTAAACACAAAATCTGGGGGGAAAATTGGTTATGTTTGAGTCCCTATTTAAAAGCCTTCCCGGTTTTCAATGTTCTTGAAACTTGCAGGGAATATTTCTTGACGATTGATCTCGGAATTGTCGAATTTATAAAAAAATTTATCGAGCGGTTTTTGGAAAAATGCGAAATTTTTAGGCATGGACCAACCAAATGCGTCTACGGAAGGCTGATCTAATAAAAAGAAGGTAAAGTGTTCCATTCTTTTAGAGTTCTGGTAAAAAAAGTTGTACTTGTAGGTATTGCTGTTACTACCAATGTTTATAAACTTGCTGCCTTGGTAAGAGCGTGTAACACGGGTTGGGCGTGCAATGTGAACTCCGGAATATTGACCCTGATTTTATTGTTCACCATTTTGTACACGGTAGTAAGTCGTGCAATTTTGCGTCTCAGTTTTAGTGAATGCCAGTTCAAATCGTTCAGGAGATTAGTGACTGCACCGGGTTTCCGCTCGAAGCAGTAGTCTATCACCAACATAGTCTTTTAGGAATGATTGTTGTATTCTGTAATTTGACTTACTGAATTATGATGTAATCTGTATCGCTTCGCTAGCTTAGGCTTAAATACGAGTGCTTTGTAGGAGAGCTTCTTCGGTTACATCTGTTGTTGTATACATCTTAGTTGCATCGTACATCTAAGACAAGGGCTGTGTTCTGATTGTACTCAAGGTACGATCTTCGATTAGACTTCTACGTTGCAATCAAGTTCTCTCTATAATTATTGTCTAAATTAGGGTATTCAACAGGGGTAACAGATTCCGTGCCTTCTCGCAGCCAGCGAGTGCCCCGAGGAAAAAGCCTTTCTCAGAGAGTTTTAGAGTTTTCCCCGTCCGTCAGTTTATCCTTTCGTGAAGGCAAAAACCTGTTTTCACTTGAGAAAGTGAAGATCGTTGACTCCGAATCCCGGGGGAAGGACTCCGCATACAAAAGGGGTGAGGATGCTCGTCGTCTCGCTTAGGGGTGTAAATCTCGGATTTTGGTCTCACTTAGAGTGTTCTGGGCAAAACGCCATCATATTTAGCCGCGAAGGTCTCGTTTAGGGTTGCACGCGAAAAAATGTAAAAATATGTGTACTGTCTGTGTTTTAATATGGTCTCTTTTAGGGGTCAAAAAAAGCTTGGGCTACGCCCGGATCGGTCTCTTTTTGGGGTTTAATTCAAAATTTCCGACGAGCATCCCCACCCCGTTCATATGCGGTGTCCCCCCCCCCCCCCCCACCGGGCTCCGAATTAATACAGAGTTCAAAGCAAGGATCCTTTTACAAATTCTTAGCAGTTATGGAAAATATCAAACAAGAAGATCACCTTGTGCTGAAGGGCGCAGCGAAAGTTCTCCTACAGAGAATGTCAGTTACCCGGACCAACCCTCTATCTGACAATAATAAAAAGTTGGCATCTCTGGCATTTAACCAGTTTACACTGCCAGTCCTGCCGTGATACTGGATGTGGACTCAAGTTTGGCCAATTGCTGACCTACAACAACTACAAGACAGAGAAGTAAGAAAGGTGATCGTCGACGTCCAGAGCAGAGGCAAGCACCACTTAGGATCAACAGAGGTGAGCTGTACCTTCCTAGAAAACTCGGAGGAAGAGGCCTTAAGTCAGGGGAAGAAGAATATAAATTGACCAAGATCAAGGTGGTGGTCAAGCTGTACAGTAATCCAGACCCCGTTATGCCGGTGGTTAGAAGGTATGAAGAGAACACAGAGGAAAATGGTCGACGGGCGTTAATTAAAGGTGCCAAGAAATAAGCCCATAAACTGGTTTTGGAACTTAACTAAGCTCCCCTCATCCCGTTGCTAAAACAGATGACAACAGAGAGGCGGATGGAGCGTTAAATGGGAAACGTGCTAAGGACTGAAGAATTAAAGAAAAAGCGAGCGGAAAAAGTCAATAGGGAAAGAAAAGCTAGAGGCAACAAGACAGAATCAAAACAGCTTGGAAAGTGACTGTTTTGCGTGGCTAGCAGCCTGGAGATCAGCACTGTCTAGTACCATCGCGGGCGCACAGGTATTGCACCAGCAGCTCCTTCCAACGACGGTGTGTCACTAGAGAAAAACGGGATTAAATCCATCATCTGCTGTCACATGCAGAATGTGTGGAAAATCGCAAGAACCAGTCGCACCTGCTTTCTAGCTGCTCAGCTTTGGCGCAGACCAAATACCTTGCTCGACACAATCCGGTGCTAAAGAACCTTTTCTTCGAGTTGCTGAAAAAAACTGGGTCTGATCGACACCACCCCCCTTGTGTTTTCGCTTTCCGAACCAACTGAAAGTCAAACCAGTGTACGAAAACCAGTGCACTAAAGCTTATTGGGATGTGCCACAGTTTATGCTGAGAACACTCTAGTCAGAGCAAAGAGAATTTAGATGCGAGAATAATTAACTTACATAAGGAAGATAAGACAATAGCACTACTAGAAATGAGCTTTCCGTGGATTGAAAACAGAGAAGCAAAGGAGTCGGAGAAGACCAGGAAATATGCGCCCCTTTGCTTTGAACTCAAGAGGCGTATCCAGGTTATGAAGAGAACCAACAAAATATAATTGCAGCACTCTTGAAGTGCTTCCATAAACACGGCCAAAAGCCAGGGGGCACCCAACGACTGTTTTCTGTAAAATGTCTGTTCGGAGAAGCAAATATTGCCTAGAATTTTCTATTACTTGAGGACGGCTAAAGATTTCTAGATGACCGTTCCATTCATGCACAATTATCTGCTTATCTGATAAATTCCCTACGATTTTCTGAAGATTAATTTTCACATTTGACCAGGTTAGTACGCTAGATAACCCGGAAAAGTGTTTTCAACGTATTTAGGAGGAAACCGCCGTTGGGTGCCCCTGAAGAGTATAAGGTCA